TGCGCCAGTTTTAATCTTTACAACCAGAGTGTTTTGGTTCAGTTTTTTTTTTCTTTTACTTTTTTCACTTTTTCTACTTCCTCTGTCCACTTGAAGAAATCCCTCAGGAATTAAATTTGTTAATCTAATAAAGGAATGAATCACTTCACCATCAATTCCCACGGTTTCCATTTTATAAAGAACAATAAGGCATGGGGCCGTTATCTCTACGTTGGTGTGAATTTCTGCCCTACAATGAACTTTACTTTGAGTCTAGAAGGATCTTCTTCCAAAATATGTTTTCTTAGCTTTCATCTGGGGGCACCAAATGAAAACCTGGTATGCTAACTACTGTATGTACACTCACACAGAGAAAGTTATCAACACAAATGTCTCAGCTAACTCTTATGTACATGTCATACATGTCCGGAAACAAAACATAATTTTGTGTCTTTACTAAAACACTGATGCATTTCCTATTGAAACAGTATTACACTGGGACATACTGCAAGGAGAGATCAATACAACTGTGGAGAGCAGTTGGAAATTAATTGAGGGGATGGTGTGTTTGAATGGAAGGTGCAGCTGGGCTCTATGACAGTTTTATTCAACCTACTTGTTACAGCAGGCATCGTAACCACTTTAAATCATACAGGTTCATTACATAACCATGGGCATTTATGGCCATACTTTCCTGTGCATTTTAAAAAAAATGTCAACTGTTTATAATTACCAAAGTCTTCAGAGCTCATTTATGTTGGTGTTATTATTGTAAAAATAATACTCTGGACTTTAATGTCATATGTTTTCCCCTAGTCCTTATGTTGGTGAGGTTTCACACTAACTCATATTTCAAATGGGCCAAAGTAAGACAGTCATAACACGGAATATAGGCCTAAGAGTGAAATTCAGATTATGACTCCTTCAGTAGTCTGTAACTGGTAGACCAAACTTCAGGGTGGAGCTATAAGGTAAGGTGCTTTATGTTGCTACATAAAGATGTGTAACTTTTTTGTCAGGATTAAACACGTTGTTTGCCTGAAAGCAAATGACATTTGGTTTTGAAGTAAGTTCATATTATTACTCCAGCACTTTTTTTACTTACCAAGCTCTGGTGTCTACATTGGCAGCATGGTTGTGCACAAAGTAACTATTCATCTAAACATGCATGCTAGATTAATCTACTACAGTATCATCGATATATTGAGCCAAGAATTTGGCTTTATTCCCCACTGAACCTTTAAATCCAACAAGTCTTGGCAGTGAGACAACAACCACCACAATAAACACAAAACACTGTACAACTATGACTACAGTGTAATTTAACTTAAAAAAGCTCTAAGTTTATCTGTGAGCTGGGTGGACATGATGTAAACACAATGTCAGCATCCAAGTTCGAATAATGAATACACAACAATCTCCTATGTGCATATTACTTGCATTAATTCTAATATTCTAATATAGTCCATTTTGAACACATAATGCGAAAACGTTTAATGTGATACAAGTGGAAAAATAAGTGCAGTGATAAACAATGAAGGGAAGTGTATCATCTATCACAATGATAAAACATATGCTGAGGCTATAAGTTAAAGTTACTGGAGTCTTAATAATTAGCTACTTGTTTGTAGTTTATAAAGGTCCCTTTTAAAGCTAGGTCCAAATCAAACAGTAGTAAAAAAAAAAAAAAAATCTCCAAATTAGCCATGTTTTACCATTGTTCTGCTTGTGGTAAAAAAAAAATGCCCCTGGTGCCTTAGGCTGGAGTTAATTTCTTCAAATCTTACAAGCTGGTCAGGCCTTTCATATTAATTTTTTTTTTGGCAGGAGTGAAATGAGGAAAAATGTAGCTCAAAATATCAATTTCCTAACATTTCTTCAAATTGTACCTCCTCAAAGAACATGGTCTATGTGGATTAATGTAACTCTGTTATCATATTAAGCTACTGTTGTTGTCCTAAGCAGCACCAAGGCAAATTGCGGAAAAAACAATGGAAGAATGAAGATTAACGTAACGGTGAAGAGATGGCCTGCTTTAATGGGGAAAAACCACTGCAGTGATGACTAAATCTGCACTAAATAAATTATAGCTTTGAATCAAACCTTATTTGCTAGAGCTGAAGTTCAGTGAATTAAATACACAATGTAATAATAAACGCAAAATAAAGCAGGGAATGGCAGCAGTAGAAAGTTTATGATATATTTCTGGTAATTGTGTGTCTCACCACTTCACTGACAACACATCGGACTAACAAACCTTAGTCATATATTAGAAGAGTAATCAAAGGATTGATGGTATCATGTATTGCATTTCCCTGTAAATGATGTAATTGAAATCATTATTTGAAAAGGTGGGTTTTCACCTCCTGGTGCCCCAGAGGTGTGCTCAGCACTAACTGTGGGGTTCTCTCAGATGTCCATCATTAAACATTCTGACTTAACATGAGTGGTTCTGTATGGCATCCGCATAAAGCCAAATTACAAACTCTGCACAGCTTCCGTTTTTTATCCACTTCCTTTTTTTTTTTTTTTTAATAAAGAAGAGGTTTAGGGGTACATGATTACTGCATGCCAAAAGAAGAGATCACTGTTCTATAGCAACTGTGTGTGGCCTTTGTCACATATACACATTGCTGTTTATACTCGATGCTAAGCAGCACTGAAGGCAGATGTTGGCTTTTCAGTTAGACAGAAGTGCCAGACAATGCGCTGTGCATAACTAATGCCCTGAGTGTCTTTGGTCCTTTTTTAAACTGTTACGAGGACCAGAGATAAAGTGAACCAGACATCAGTGGGTAAAGGGTATGGTTTCAAAGAGGAGCTATGCACTGCTCTTTTCTTCTTCCGCTAAATTCAGTTTAATTAAAAAAACACAGACTTATCCACCAACATGGATCTTTGTTGTCTTGTTCCTTTGTGTGTTTTTCACAGTCTTTTCACAAGTTCCCTTCATTGAAGTATGAGCTCAGGGAGCATAACGCAGTTTGTATTCAGTCTGTGTGACAGGCGGCAAAGCAGCAATCTTGTCTGTCGAAAGACAATGATTCCGCTCAGCTGCCATGTTGTGCACACAAATGTGTTATACAACATCAGTCCTGAAATCTGTCACCTTGCAAATTCCCCATGGATAATATTAACTATTCCCCATTAAGTTCATACAATTTATACCTCACAAAGTGAATACTTTTGTTATCTTTTAACATGTGATTCCCAGTTTTAATATTTTTAAAATTGAATAGTGATTTTACACATGAACAACTTCCTCCTCCCACCGAGGCTTCAAAGAGGAATCTACGTTATCAATAAAAATAGAACTAGTGATTTCATCCAGTGTTTAAATGATTGGTTGAAGATTACTCAACTAAGAGAAAATTAATCTGCAATTATTTTGATAGTTGATTAACTGCTTTAAACGTTTCAACTGTGACGTTTTTCTTTTGTTCTTTGATTGTAAACTGAATGTCTGTGGTTTGGGGGCTGTTTTTCAGATAGGTAAGTCATTTGAAAGTGTCTCTTTAGTCAGTGGGGAATTGTGATTGGCATTTTCACTATTTTCTACCATTTAAACAATTGATTAGTTAATTGGGAAAAATATTAGTACATAAAGTGATAATGAAAATGATAATTAGTTGCATGCATCTTTGGGAGATTCCTTTTTTATCATAAAAATATTATAAGTAAAACAAGACAGTGTAGCAAAACAAGCCAGACACGAACCCAGCAGCATGTGCACAACCATCCATGTCTAAGCTAAGCAGGCAGGTCTGGCAAAAATCCATTATGATCTCTCCCCAATGTCACCTCAGATGTATCCATGACAAAGTCACAGTAAGTAAGAAATGCATATAGAAAGTTGTATAGGTGCCACACAGCAGCATTACTTTGTTTTTGGAGGTCTGCTTTGTAATAGTTGGACTGTGCGTCAGGTTTGCATTAAAGTCAAGACTTAGGGTTTTTAGCCAATGTTCTCCATGATTGAAATTCTCAGTCAGCCATCAATCTGCATTATAGACTGGTTTCCCCTTGTCTGGTCGGGGCTAACTGAAACAGATTGAGACAGCTCTTGCTCACTGCATCACTAATGGCTGCCAATGAAAGACGTCTCTGTGAAGTTGACCCGTATGTGGAACAGGATCACGTCGCAGCTCAGAGCAATGGAGAAAACACAGCTCAATATAGTGAGTCTCTTCAGCATCAGTCACCAGTCAACAACATCCTCATCCTATTGACTAAATGTTGCCCAGAAATAGAATCTAATCACAGGGGTTGGACAGGCTCTAGTTCTCCTAATGGTTTACCATTAGCTGACTGGAACAAAGCCCAAAGTACAGAGAAATATGACAATATGTTCTTGGGTGCCTGCATTGCATGGCAGTAATGGCTTCTGGATTATTGTCATGGCACCTGCATACTCATATGCACCTATATACAACTGCTGAGACCAGAGGCAGTGGATAGAAAGAATGATTACTCGCTCACCTCTGGTTCAAATTCTTCTCATTATTTTCTGTCAGATAACCCTCCAGTAACCCCAGAAAAGGGCACAGAAACAGAAGCTATGTTTGAGGGATTATACATTTTCTCCATTCAGCTGTTTTGAATGGATACCACAAGAGTGCAGCCTAAGTGAAACCATTTCCAAGCCATTTTGCAGACAGGCCAAAACAGAATCATTACCTTGCATGGCATAACTGACAGTGAACACAAACAATCCTCCTAATTGATTACCTAGACCTGCGCTAATGGAAAATGCATTGAATCTTTCATAAAGCCCATGTCAGGAGCATTTTCAAACAAAGAGAGCGGACCCATTAATGTTTCTAGACTTCCCCCAGCAACCCCAACATCTGAAGTCCTTTCAGAACCTTACTTATAGGATAATGATCTGGTCAAACATTTCATAGTGGCATACAACTAGCAGTAACAGATGAAATTCCCCCAGGGGACCATGTGCTGCTACAGAAATATAACAATTAAAAGTACGCCCAGTTGCTTATTCTTCCAGGCTGAGATGAGGATGCGGGGGATATGGACCCCTCTCCCTTCTCGTCAAAGAATCAGCCTCCAGCTCCTCCTCTGATGCATCGTTTGCATCAGTACTTGGAAACACTTGTCCGCGCGCTGCTGCACCTCCCTTCAGTTCACGGGCTCCACTTTACCAGGCGACGACAGACAAACGCTCAAGAGTAAAGATGATATGTTTTTAACACGCCTGGAGTCGGAATTAATGTAGAATGGAGACGCGCATTGGTTATTGCATTTTTATCATTTTCACTGAGTGGATTTGGCTCATCACACTAACTTCCATCCTGGGCGGAACAGAAGCGGAGGTAAGATGCATCCCCCCGTGCCAGCTGCAGTTATTCAGCGCATTTTCCCGGGAACTCGCGGAGCTGAATTTGACTAATTTTGACGAGGCACCTGCTGAAGAAATTGTTAGATTGACTGAAGGTTCACCAGGCACAAAACCCACCCCCAGACAGGATGAACAGCAGAACGCTGCGGAATTAACTGCGACCCAAGAAAGTTCCTCCAAAGTAGAGCAACGGTTACAGGGGAATAACGCAAGTTGTCTTGAGAAGGACGCGCTAAATGATAAGCAAAAACTTTGCCACACGACAGTGTTTCCTGGCGCGTCGGCACCATCTCTCAAAAACGTCACTGAAAATAGCAATGGAAAAAATGACAGCTTTTTTGGAGAAAATGGGGCGAAAGCTGACGAATCGGTAAACGAGGACAAGGATGTGGCCAGCTGGAGACGAGGAAGAAGGAGCGCAGAGACTTGGTCCCGATTCAGACCTGAGGGCGGGGAGGATGCTTCGTTTTTGGACCAAGAGGAGTTGCAGCTTACAAGTTCGACATTTGCACTGGCCGGAGACACTGCTCATAACCAGGCGATGGTGCACTGGTCCGGACAAAACAGTAGCGTAAGTAGTTAATGTGCTCCAGATTAACGCACGGACCTATTTTGACGCAGTGTGGCCGGTGTTCACTCACAAATCTTGTGTGGTAATTTGACACATGTAAAACTTTAGTGTTGACAGAGAATGGCAGAGCACAGAAACGTAAGATGGATTCAGTATCAGTTTGACGCTGAGAGGTTGCAGAATGTGATGGGACTCGGCCTGCGTCTTGCCCCCATTCTCTCTCTCTCCCCGTGTGTGTGTGTGTCTCACATACATGCATACATGCACACACGCCCTGTCTGTGCTATTGTTTATATAGGCACACTTTGCTGCTTTTGTCCAGGTACTAATTTTAGTCTGTATTTCATGCGTAAAAGACATTGATAAACCTCTTCTTGCTATAGCTTTATCCGCCTTGTTCAAAATTTGGTGAAATATACAGTCCTCTGGCTGATACAGTGCGTTCAAGCAAGACTTGAGAAGGTTTTGTTAAGCAGGTGTTATGTTTGAGAACATATCTACTAGAAAGTGAATGTCATTATAAGTAGGTAGGCAGAAATTAGAGCAATGCCATGAAATACTAACTATATGCACACCAAGAGAGAAAGAAATCCTGGTTTAACATTCCAACAAACAGAATGGTTAGAGGTTGCCCCTATAACATCCAGGGAGTTGGCCTTCCACAGATTGGGAACATCCAGTTTTCTGTGCAGCTGAACTTCTTGGAGGATGTAAGTGAATGTGAAAGCTCTTAAAATCACAGGGAGTGTACAATGTAAGCTCCTCCTGAGCCATTTAGAGCACAAGCAAAGGGTTCACTTCTAAAAGATATGCATATCATATGAGCTTCAGCTTTTTCTCATTTTGATCAAGAGTTAAGCAGCAGAATTGTTTGTACTCCCTAAATAGACATTTCACCAGTGGAATGTGTTGTTTATCCTACATGAGATGTTACCATCAATTAGTTTTTTTGGCATCTTGCTGACTGAAATTGCACCCTGACAATATGACTGAAATACAATGATGGAAGAAGTACCCAGACTGTTTACTTAAGTAAAAGTAACAGTACCAACCATGTGTAAAAGTAAAGGTCCTGAATTCAAAATGTGACTTAATTAAAAGTACAAAAGTCTGAGCGTCAAAGATACTTAAAATCCTAAAAATAAAAGTATTCATTATGCAGAATGGCATAGTGCACATTAATGTATATCATATTATTAGATTATAATTACTGTGTACATCACATTTAATGTTGCAGCCGGTAAAAGTGGAGCTAATGTTAACTGCTTTATAGCATGTCATAATAACAATGACATTTCCCACCAGGGATCAATAACGCCTTATGGATTGTACTTTGTATTTTGACTGTATTTTGTTTGATTAATCTGATTCTGAAAAGTAAGTAGTAACTAAAGTTATCACATAAATATAGTGATTTTTACTCACTGCATTTTACAGATACCTTAAAATTATACTTGTGTAAATGTACTTTGCAACTTGGTGAAATATAAAAATGTTGATTTAGAGCTAAAATCACGAGCCTGTAGGGTCCTAACCTTGATCTGAGGAGCCTGAAATTTTCTTGGGCTTGGGAATTAAGCAGAAGGATTTAGTCCTGTAGGGCTGCAACAAACAACAATTTTCATTATTGATTTAATTTCTGAAGATTTTCTTTAGTTTATTTATTTTTGACTGTAAAATAATTGGAAATTGTTAAAAAAATTACTATTGTGTGGAAAACAAATGTATCAAATATGAGACATTGCTTAAAAATGACCAACTAATTAGTTGACTAAATGTTGCAGCTCAACAGTCTTGTTTCTTTCTTTATGGTTTAGAAACAAAGAATGTGTTTAATTAGTATCACTTATGAGTAAACCTGACATTTAAAAAATATGTCTTTGATTCAGATAATTATCACCAGAATTTGGCATAATCTCTTTCACAGTTTTATGGCAATCGTTTGTTCTTGCTTTGAGACATTTCACCCCCCTGTGGCACAATCTCATTCCGCCTACTCACAATGTAATGTGTTTGTGTTCCCACTTTTGCAGCCGGCCACACCCTCTCGCTCTGTGTAGGTGCAGACCAGGGGGGTCACCAAAGAAGCTCGCAGATATTCCATCTGGTGTGCTTTTGAAATCTAGTAGTAATCTATCTCACAATTAACCAGCTTCATGTTTCAAAGTTCACTTACAGCTCAGTCATAAGCTTCCCTTGGTATCAAAACATTTCTAAGCAGGAGTCATACATCAACTGACAACCATCTTACAGGCTAAATTATGAAAAAGAATCCTTTTGTAAAATGTACAAGTAGATAAATTAGACAGCAAGTATGCATACAGAAATATCTCCTCTGTCTTGCTAACATGACTCAATTTGTGTGGGAAAGAGCTGTCCTCACACTGTACTTTGAAACCTGTCCTCATGTTGATGTTGTCATGAAATCAAGTTTTCAGACTGGTCACACTTCTCAGAACTGGGTATTTCTTTCTTACTGTGCCATCTGCTATGATGTGTGTGTGTGTTGGCAGTTATAAAAACTGTAGGCCTACATGTCAGCAGTCAGTTTGCACATGCACACTGTGTGACCTTGTTATTGACTTGTATTGATATTTAGGTTCCCTGTCCAATTCCAGATCTTGCGATTGATTTGCAACTTAAGGATCTTAGTTATTTTTGCCACTTGTCCAGTTATCGCCATTTGAACACTGTACTGTCATCATTTCGGCTTCTCAGTTCAACATGAAAACCAACAAACATGAAAGAGTGCTCGGTCTGTGAGCTGCTCCACCACATTGATTGGTGTGGTCATTGTCTGTTACATGCAGCATTTCAATATCAAGTGTCCTGATGCTGCAGCACTTAATTGGCATGCTCCTCTAATAATGCATTCATACCGCTATAGCATTGAATGGCTTACCTATAGATGTAAGTAGCTGAATAATTTCATTCAACTCATGTGGCAGAGGATGTTTCTCAAAGACCCACTGGACCTTTTTGTGCAGTCATCCAAGTGCACGTTTTACCAGAAATATAAAGGTTTAAACACGTGGAGGTTATTAGCATACAGTAAAACATTTCTGATTTTATTGGATTTGCATTAGATTTGTCCCTTTTTATATGAAATTTAGGAAAAACAAACATTCAACATGCATTGATTTGTTCAAATATAAAATCCTTGGTGTGTAACTGCAACAGGTTGCTCCTTGTACTGCAGTGGTGGGGGTTTGTAAAATGCACTGTCTGCTGTTGTCTGCTCTGTTGTCTCGTGCACTAGACTATTGTTGTCTTTGTTAATGCAAAATGGAGAAAACTAGCGAGTACTGAGCCAGTCAACATGGCACCAAACTATCCAAGTATGTATGTAAGACATAATGTGTAGAAGTATTTTGGATTCAGCTGAATAGATTGTGGCTAAAGTTGCATCTGTTTTCTGTCTTTAAACAAAGCATCTGGAATTTTAAACATGGCAGACATGGGAAATTTTGATTAGTTTACACAGTGGTGTAAAGTAACTAAGTACTAAGTTCACTCAAGTACTGTACTTAAGTACAGTTTTGAGGTATCTTGAACTTCGTTACTTTTCAGATGCAAATACTGTACTTTTTACTCCACTACATTAATTTTATTAAGTTACTTTTCAGATTATAATATACACTATAATCATAAGACTTTGATTCCTGGTGGGAAATTCACAAGCTACCCAGCAGCAGGTGAAGTCCTTCGAATTATAAGCATATAGTTAAATGTGATGTGCATAATAATGCATCAGTGGTTTCAGTCCAATAATATGATAAACATTCATGTGAAATGTGCCATTTTGGCATAAGTACCTTTACTTTTGGTGCTTTAACAATATTTAACTGGTACTTTATATTTTGATGCTAATACTGTTGTATTTAACATTTTGAATGCAAGACTTTTACTGTCGTATTGCTACTTTAACTAAAGTAAAGAATCTGAGTACCTCTTCCACCACTGAATTGATATTTTTGTTAATTTCCAAACTCATGCTACATACCCCCAGCTGGTTTTCTGTTCTCCAGCTAACTTGAGCTTTATTTCAATAACAGCACAGCCTTAGTCAAGACTCCAGTAATTTTAGAACAAGCTCTCCAGTTTATAGTGAATCTTTTGACAGCAGCCATGTGGGAAATCATACTGTGCAACTGCTTATTGACCAAGACAGCTGACCGAAATTTCAAACACGCCAGAAACCGTTTTCAGTTTAAAATCAGACTTCATCTGTACAGTGTCTGCTCAGCTTTAGCTCTTCAGAGTGAGACAGAAGAGGCACTTCACGTGAGCAGAACATTAATTCTGCAACATTTTTTAGGATTCACCTACAAATGAATGTTAAGTTAGTTTTAATTCATTTAAACTTGATCTTTGTTTAAAAAAAATAAGATGCACAGATTTTTGAAATGGGTTTATTTAGAAGCTTGAGTTTCAAAGACATGCGTCTAAGGTGAGCCTGAATTGCCCGTAGGTGTGAATGTGGTTGTCATTTTGTGTCAGCCCTGTGAGACTGTCAATCTGTCCTGCCCAGTGCATGCTGGGATAGGCTGCAGCCCCCTATGACCTTGAACACATCTGTCCTATTTTATGGCCCCTCTATCCAGCTGTTTTAAATGCCATACATATAATAATCATAACTTAAAATTCTCCACAGAAAAACATTGTACTCTGGCAGCACTCTGTATTATTTAGAAGATATCACAGGTAAGAGTTATTTTACTGAAGAAGAACATACTCATGTCCTAATTGTGATAAGAAGAATGAAGCAGTCAGAGTTTAAAGTGGTCACCATCTTCATCTATTTCTCCTTCTTCTTCCTATTGGGGAGTTTTTATAGTAAAGCTCAAGTTATTAGTGGAGAGTCTTTGTCCACATTTTTGGCTATGACCTTCAGCTTAGTCTTGAGTGTTAGAGCATTGATTTTGGGTGGGTTTTTCTTTGAGGTACTCCTTTTTCTTTTCTTTCTCTACCTTAAGCTGAATTGCCAGCACCTGCGTACT